GGGGCGTCGGCCGGCGCGGGCCCCACCCCTTCCTCTTCCCGCGCCCCCGGGCGCCGTCCTCCGTGGTGCGCTCCAAGATGGCGGCCCCCGTGGTGCGGCGCGCGGTCCTCCTGGCGCGGAGAGGGCCTCTGTCTCCTCTCTCCCTGGCAGGTTGGTGGCTGCTGCCTTCGTGGGGCTGCTCCATTAGGTCCCTGAGGACGGTGTTCCTCGAGTGAAGGGAGCGGTGGGCTTTCAAGAGGAGAGGAAATGCTTCTGAGATCTAGTTGCTGGAGCAGCCACTTGGGGTGTTTGGTGGCGTGGGACGGGGAGGTAGGGGCTGCGACCCATCTCCTTTCGTAAGGTAATAGCGTCTGCCCTTCCAAAGGCCTGAGAGCAGAGAAAGCCCAGGCGCGAGCGCCTCTGCGTGTGCCCTGCTGGGCTTGTGCGTGAGCGTGGTTGTCCTTGCTGGTCCTGAGGAGCCCCCACGCGCCCACCCGGGGTGCGACGGTGGCCTCCCCGCCGAGGTTCCCCGGGAGCGGCGTCCCCGGCCCTCCCGTGTGGCCGGAGCCCCGGACCTCCGTCGGCGGGAGAGTTTTCAGTTACTGGTCTCTGTGCCCGGGGACCTTGGACAGCTTTTGGCTGCTCCTCCTTTTTACAGCTTTCCGCCTGCAGACTGCGTGCTGGTGGTGCTTCTGAAGCGCTTTGGTACCTGGGTGAAGGGCAGCTCGGTCAAAACCGGTTTCACGGATCTGTTAAAAAACGTTTTCTAACATTTTCAGAAGCGAAATCCTGGATTAAAATGCAACAATCACAGTCAGTGTTGCCAATGCCTATTATATCTGCTCTTTCCACCTCCTTTGGCCCCTGTAAAAAATCAACACACACACTCTTGCTCGCACCTCTTTAGGAACAGCATGAAATATGAACGTGAAGTCCCCAGAAGTCTTCTGCGGATTCACTGTTTGGGCAGCTGGTGAAGATATTTAATGCCACACATTAGGTACAGTGGTATGCACACTGGCATCTCGGGAAGAATTAGCTGTTGTAGCTGTTTACAAGCATATTTAGTTATGCTTGATAGTAAAGGTTTCCATTTAAACAAGACCTTAGATTGTCTATTAGGAAGGGTGTTGTGGTTGCTTAGGATGTTTGGGGGCAATCATTCTAACAAGGGAATGGAAATTAGATAAGGGTGACTTGAGAGAATTTCCAGTTAGCATTTTGGTCTTAGTTTGAACTGGTGAACTTGTGGTCAGTTACACACCTGTGCTATTCCATTGTGGTAGCTACTACCTGCATATGGCTATTTGAATTAGTGAAAATTAAATAAAATTTAAAATTCATTTCCTTAGTCACACTAGCTACATTTTAAGTGCTCACTGGACACCTGTGGCTAGTTGCTACCGTATTGGACAGCTCAGAATTGAACATTTCCATCGTTATAGAAAGTTATATTGAGCAAGCACTGGGCTAGACCATAGATGAAAGGAGTCTTGAAATTAGGAAATGGAGACTGTGAGGCAAGTAATATAAATAAGTAGGATAGCGCATTATGGACCACTTGGGATTTGAAAATGCTGATAAGGAGCTTGACTTTTAAGTCATCAAAACATCTTGAACCATTACAAGATAAGAGAAGAAAAATAGTCTACTTTGTACAAACTCATGGCAAATTAATATTTGAAACACTTTGGTGCTTCTATTGATTTTCCATAATTACATCATAATGGAGAAGGGAAACTAAAATGATCAAGAGTGAAAGGAAAATTTATTGAGATGAACCAAAAAGTGACTTCACTATATAAAGAAGCTAGAGGAAGGAAACTTAGTGGGTACCTAATACACAGAGGATGTCAGGCTAGGCACTTGATACCCGATACGCATTCATGGTTTAAAGGCCTGGTATAACTTGCCCACATTTTCATAGCATTTATTAGCAAGGCAAGGGTTCAAACATAGACTTTGTGACCCTAAAGCCTGTCTGAGCCCACAATCACACTGCTTTCCTTTGGATGGAAAATGTGCTTGGAGAAATTTGTCCAAAGTCTAGAATAACTATAAAATGAGTAAGCATTTGTAATACTGTAAACAAAAATAAAAATTATAAAAAGTTAAAAAATAAAATAAAATAAAATATGATTACATTAAAAAAATAATAATAATAAAATAAAATGAGTAAGGATATGGATAGAGCCAACTGGTTTTCGCTAAACTGAAATTCTAGTCCTTGGAGGCATCTTTTCAGAATTAAATGGAGAAAATATTTCATTTTATAGTGGATAGTTAAGTTAGGAAATATGGTTGCCTCAAAAGCTGGCTGGCTGAAGGGTAAGCCAGTCAAGAGGAGTTTATATACACTCTTGGGTGGCACATTCAGAGTGGGATTATGTAGGCTAGGGACCTAAACCTGTGAGGCTGATATCATTCTATCCCCTTGCTACTTCCATGTGGTCTTAGAGTCAGTGTAATCATCAATATCACTTCTTCGAAAAGCAGAATCTCTGTTTCTGCTGCAGACCTACTGAATCAGAATCTGCATTTTATCAAGATTTATATGTAAATTAAAGTTTGAGAAGCTGGTCTAGGTTTTCCATTGTGTCATTGTCCACCCAATTTATTGTTCTGTCTGACTTTATAGAAATTTTTTTATTCCAGTGTTAATACACAGACTTCCAACTACTACAGAGATGGAAAGAACTTTAAATGGTGTCATTTATAAAGTATCTCAGGAAGACGAACATCCTGCTTTTAAAGGCTTACAGAAAATGGAATGTCCGTCTGTCTTAAGGTGTAGGATAGAGCCAATCTGTTTTCACTAAACTTTGAAATTCTGGACCCTGGAGGTATCATGAGAATTAAATGGAGAAAATATTTCTTCTTATAGTGGATAGGTAAGTTAGAGACTATGGATGTGCCAAAAACTGACTGGTTGAAGGGTAAGCAGGTTACCAAATCACCCCAAATTTGGTGGCATAAAACAATACAGATTTATTATATTGCAATTCTATAGGTCAAAGGTCCTGACACAGGGTCTTACTATGCTAAAATCAAGGTGTTGAAAGGGATGTGTTCTCTCTGAGAATCTCTATTATAGAATGTGCTTCCGTGCCTTTTCTATCTTTTAAAGACCACCTGCATTCCTTGGCTGATGGTCCCCTTTCTCAACTATTTTCCAAGTGAGCAATGGCAAGTCAAGACCTTATATCACTCCTTATGTCCTTCACGCATCACACTAAGGACCTGACTCCCTCTTCCAGCCATCATCACAATCAATTTAAGACATTTCCACCACTTCAAAACAAAAAATAAAAAACTTATTAACAGTTACTCCCCAGTTTCCCCCAAGCTTTCTTCACTTACCTTCCAAATATAGGCAACCACTAATCTACTTTCTGTCTCTATAGATTTGCCTATTATGGACTTTTCATATAAATGGAATTATATAATATTTGGTCTTTTGTGACTGACTTCCTTTTCACTTAGCATTATATTTTAGATATCCATCAATGTTGTAGCATGTATCAATACTTCATTTCTTTTTTATTGCTAAATATTTTCCCATTGTAAGAATATACCACATTTTATTTATCTCTTCATCAGATGATGGATATTTGCATTGTTTCCACTTTGGAGCTATTGTGAATAATATTGCTATGAACATTGTTATACAAATTTTTGTGTAGATACATGATTTCATTTCTCTTGGGTGTATACCTAAGAGTGGAATTGCTGGGCTGTATGAGAAATTTTCCAAAGTGGCTCCACCATTTTACATTTTCACCTGAAATGTATGAAAGTTCCAGTTTCTCTACGTTTATATCAACCACTGTTATAATCTGTCCTTTTTATTATAGTCATTTTAGTGGGTGTGAAGTGGCATTCAATGTATTTTGCATTTCCCTAATAGCAAATTATACTAAACATCTTTCCATGTACTTGCTGGCCATTTGCATGTATATGTATATGTTTGTGTATGTATATGTGCATACTTTTTCTTTTTTACAAATATAGGGTGTCCCCCCAAAAATGTTTACACACACTTTGAATAATTATAAAGGCAGTCTTTATTAAAATACATTTTATTTTCAAAATTGAGTGTGTATACATTTTGGGGGGACACCCTGTATTTGTTCAAATCCTTTGCCCATTTTCAGTTGGATCATTTGTCTTTTTAATTTTTGAATAATAAGAATTATTTATATATTCAGGATACAAGTCCCTTATCAGATAAATGATTTGTAAATGTTTTCTCTCATTCTGTGAGTTTTCCTTTCACTTTCAGAATAGTGCCCTTTGAAACACAAAAGGGTTTAATTTGAGCTCATTTACTGAGCACTGCCACATGCCAGTCATTGTGCCAGGTTCTGGGAACACAGTTATGCCATCTTGTGGTTACCTCAAGTTTGGCTTATTAGGTTTCTCTTATTTACCACTAGGGTGCTGGTTTACTGAGTAAGATATTATTGTTTGCTTTATGTGAAATAAGGGAAAATAAGCTGATCTAAGTCAGATGGAAATGT